GGCCCTAATCCATGCCATTGTTTTGTGGTACTCTTCACCTTTCTTTCGGGCTATCAGTTCAGCAAGCCTGCTGTGATATGTTTTGCATTCTTTACTCATACCTCCTGTTGTACAAAAGACAAGGGGAGTAAATGTTCCATGTTCGATTTCGTTTACTCTTTCGGTGTATTTCCACTTTATTTATTTATTTATTTATTTATTTATTTATCTATTTATTTATTTATTAACTCTACAACCAAGTGAGAATATACACCAATGATACATAAACAAAACACAAACCTACAGTAGCATATAGATAAACATGTGACAGTGTTTTAATTCACATTAATTTGTTAAAATACAGTCTGATGCTCAGCTGCCGTGTTGTTTAAAAGTGCTTTAATTTGTCTTTTTTCTGTGATCCAGACAACTTCTGTTTCATTTTGTCTTCTGAGTCTTCTCTGCCAATGATCATAATTTGTTATTAATTTAATGGATCAGAAAGACAAAGCACAGGAAGTCTACTCCTAAAGTCTCAGGAAATGAATAAATATGTATTAAACACATCTCTAGATAGATGACGAAATCACTACTTGGCACTGATAAACTCTTTGTTTTGGCAATGATAGATGACACAGTGATATCAAAGCAAAAATAGTTTCATTAATTCCAGCACAATTCAGTCCAGGTGATCTTGCCTCAAAGTGCACAAAGGATTATTATTCAAAGCAAACAGTTCCTAATACCCAGTCACCTATTTCATAATATCTCACAGTAATCAAAATGGCAGCTGGTGACTAATCAACACAACACAGATTTCGCTTACTTTTATTGAATTTATGCTTTGTTTTTATTAATTTTAACTGCTGATAGAGCAAGAGAAAGCTTTTCTGATATGTGTAACATTGAATTTTTCAAAGTAAAGTTATATTTCAGGACGTATATTTTAACTCAAAATACAACTCCAATTTGAAATTCATCATGGAAGTTTTGGCGATGTAATAAAAATGCTTCTGATTGGTTAACAGTAACTGGAAGTGTGTGTGCGAGATCACCTGGGTCTTATTTTTGCATTTATTTTTGCTTTTCATAAAAAAATAAAAAGGCATACTATAGCATCATTTATTAAATAGAACATGGATCAAAATATATCTTGAACTTTGGTAAATTTTGTCTGGCACATATTTTGCTCATGTAGTTTTAGATGTGCTTACTCACCTCTCACCAATACCACCAGGGTTCAAGTCCAGCCGGGCTCAGTGTGTGTCTCAGGAGTAGAGTTTGTYGTAGGTTCCCTTGAGCTCCTGTGCTTAAATTTTTTTCATTGGGTTATCCAGTTTCTTCCCTCCACAAAAATCAACTCCTAAATTCCAATTCAATCATAGAATGAAGGCCCCAGGTTTGATAGCCACTGGATATTTTAATATTACATAAAAAAGGTGCTAACCTCGTAAAACAAGGACGATTTATGTTGTACGTAATAACAAATGAAAAACTGCTTTATGATATGTAATCTTTTTTTTTTTTTTTTTTTTTTTTGACCATTTAGGAATTTGAAGGAAATACAAACAACCTAAATGTTACAAAAATGAGCTTTTTCAAGCCGCCCATCATTGCTGATAATTTCCGGCTAATACCAATTTTATATCCTGTCAATCAAGTTTGTCTTCGAATGGAGCTCTATGGATGTCAAATTACTCAAGGTAAGCTTCAACTCAATTGCTGTATTTTGCTTTTACGTGCATTAATATTGTATGATCAATAAACATATGACAATTACACCTGTCGCCCAAATGGTTTACGAATCAATAGCCCAGGGTCTAATTAATTATCTTAGAGTGCAAACAATTAATCCGTGAAACACTAATTACTAAATAGTGCTAATTAAACAATAGAAAACAATGGAATTTGCATGAAATTGTTCTATTTAGTATTACTAAAGTTTTACGGTTATATTGTTTGCACTCTAGTATAAAATACTAATTGATCAAATAAAATTGCAAACAATTTTGAAATTAGATTGTATTAAACTTTAGATACACGAAGTAAAGAAAATAGAAATTTCGTTTTACTAATGGCCTATCACTAATAGACCATTAGTATCTCTGCCAATCAGATAACAGGATTTGTGATAGACCATTAGTAAGTTTATACTAAAGATTATTAGTCTGTGGCCCAAAGACTGGCCTAAGTGATTGCTTGTTTTAAACAAAAGTATGTAAAATCCGTGGACAAATAACTGTGCCCCTCTTAAGAGTCATTGATGCCAAGTGATCTGGCACCGTAATGGAATTAATTGAAACGTTTCCAACTGAAGCACCATGAAGCCTGTCTTAGCATGTTTATAAGCGGAAAAGACCATCTCTAGGCATTAGCTCATCAATATACTTAGATATATATTTGTATGACTTCTTTCCAGATCTTTTGTCGTACACAATGAACCCTGGAAATACTTTTGAAACAAGCTATAATCTGACTGATGTGGTATTTGACGGTGTTATAACCCCCAGCAAGCTTATTTCCGGTCTAGGATTTCTTACGGATGGCGTCTTAGCACCAGAAAACTTCATCACTCACAATGGTTATGGATGGATTGGATGGCATTCCAAGGAGACTCGAAGCCCTTTTATTGAATTAGACTTTCTGAAACGCCGGGTATTCAAAACTGTGACCTTTCACAGTAACATCAGGACTAGGAGTGGCATTCAGCTGTTTAAAGCGGTTAAAATCGAATTCTTCGATGAAAATGTAAATCCCCACGCCCATGTCACGCATTACACAAAAGACGTGTCTAGTGGCTACACATGGATGAATTACAACGTGACGGTGGATATGTGTTTGAATTATGCCAAGTCCTTGAAAATGCGATTCACCTACAGTGGAGAGTGGATGCTGATTAGCGAAGTTACAGTTGATAGTGGTAATAATATTAATACATTATTCAATTCCTATTTCCACGTTTTTCTGAGAGAGAAAAGGAAGACGAGACCGAAAAACACTGACGAAGGCAGCTGTCAAAGATGAACAAAAAGCAACAGTACAGTGATTGAAGAAAGAAAATGCTTAGTTGATCTACGTTTGACGTTGATGTCAGTTTTTGAAGGAAATGTGATCTTACGTAAATAAAACTTAAACTTCTTAGTTCTTTGTTGGTTGCCAGGCAACTGCCCTATTYGTGCATGTTTTATCGGTACCAGTCTCCCGGCGCCAAAATTTTGAGACGTTTGCAACCGCGCGTTATTATAAACTCTTTTTGTTCCCAAAATTACGTGATATTTTTTTAATAATTGTGAATTTTGAAAGCTTCTTGAAATACTTAAGGCATTAAAGTCTAATTGTCTATTCAAAGTGAATACCAATGGTTTTAGAAAATGAAATTTCTTTTAATTCTTTTCAGATTCAGTAATTGGAAATCGTTTGCCAACACCGGAATGTGCGACTGAACCCCCCGTGATTGTGATCAGCACAGTGGCTGACGAAAACACTACCACCAACAACCTAACTTTACCTGGTAAGGCTTACTAACTATAACTAGCTAACTATATAGAACATCGTGTCAAACAATTTCTCATATCTCCATGGACAACGTTTGGAGCAAGAGATATCGATATACTGCGAGGATCAGCTCAATTTGATACACTACAGCCGCAGTACATATATATATATATCATATATATTCTCATAATCATAGATATTAATGAGTTGAGTTACTATTTTTATGGAGCGGGAAAGTATCTTAAAGAAAGAGATTATCAAATTCCTAACCTGAAACAATGAGATTGCTTCATATTACCATATAATACTGAAAACTGATAGCGGGCTAGTAGGGAAAAAAAACAGTTTATGGGCAATCAAAAAGGGTTTTACTAGTAGATATTTTCACTGCGGTTTTCCATATTCTGCGAACTCGGCAGTTGCGAGCTTAAATTTTATATTTCGCTGCCTTCAATCAAAAATAATCAGTCGATTCTTTTCATATTCTTCACTAGCGGTAGCAAAACAAGCCGTTGAAATGTCTGAGTTCGCAGAATATCGAAAACCGCAGTAAAAGAGTGTTGATGTTTGCTTATTGTCTCGCCAGGATCATTACCAGACAGTAGTTCAGGTTTAGATGCTGGGGCCATCATTGGTATCGCATGTGGGGTCGTTCTTATTCTTATTCTCTTGGTATTATTCCTGTGTTGTTGGTGTTATCGTCGAAAAAGGCATCACCAGAAGAAACCGTCATTTTATCATTTTATCCGTTGGGAGTTAAAACCCTACCCATCTGGATACCGAACGGCTGTTAGAGTATCACGTCTGGGAAGCGAAGAGGAGAAAAATTACACGTTCAGGAGACAACCTGCAGAAAGTGGAGAAGATAGACTTGAAGGTCAGGTCCCTGGAATGTATGGTGCAGGCCCTATTTATGCTAGTATTGAAAACCCGGATGAGATTGGCAAGGCAGCTGGATTATCGCCGACTACTTCTATGAGCCCAACCAAAGGAGGAAAACCTAAAAGTAAGCTAAAGATAATAGTAATCGACTGAATAAATGCTTAAACATATTTTATACTAAGGGAACGTGGCAAAAGTTGGCTCATGAGTGATTAAGAGAATGGTTGAATAGCGCAACAAGTGCGCTTACCCGGCTTTGATTGACTTAAATACACACCGCAGATCAGATGAAATATTCTAAATGTCATTGCTGATTTCTTTCTAGATAAACCTCCACCCTTACCATTACATTCAATTCAAGGTCCTACTGATGCTCACTATGCACTACCTGACAGCCCGATAAGCAACTACCACTCACCAATAGATAACAGTGAAATGATCAGTCATGAAGCACTCAGCCCAGAGCATCATACGAAGACCCTTCAACCATCACCTTTGCCTCCACAACCAGACGTAATCCCCACCCCAGACGTTTTCTACGCCGAGCCAGATACACCAGCCCCACCCAAAACCAAGGCGGGTTATTGTGAACCAATCGACGCCGTCATCCCAGGTGATGGAGTGTTCCCAAATCCCGTGTACGAGGAAATATATGCTGAGCCATATCAAGGCGTATCTGGTACCAGTCTCTACGCCAATCCAACAACGGACCTTAAAATAAAGCACGATAACTTCAAAGAGTTTCCACGGGAAAAACTTATCTTCAGGGAAAAGATAGGCGATGGTCAGTTTGGCGAAGTTCACTTGGGGGAAGCAGAAGATCTGGGAGAGATTTTGGATGAAGAGTTCAGCAGCAACAGAAAAGTACTTGTTGCCATCAAGGTGCTCAAACCTGATGTGGACAAGAATATCAAAAGTGACTTCTTTAAGGAGGTTAAAATAATGGCGGGAATTCAACACGAGAATGTCATTCGTCTCCTTGGTGTCTGCAAAGATGATCCCATGTGCATGATCGTAGAATACATGGTGAACGGCGATCTAAACCAGTTCCTTAAAGAACGTGAGCTTGCACCTGGTAAAGGGACCAATAAAGAAAAAGTGCTAACCTACCAGGCCCTCATTTACATGGCATCGCAAATTGCTGCAGGAATGAAGTATATCGCTTCCTTGAAGTTTGTTCACCGGGATCTGGCAACGAGAAATTGTTTGGTTGGCCATTCGTACACGGTCAAGATCGCTGATTTTGGCATGTCTCGTCACTTGTACAGTAAGCATTACTATCGTGTGCAAGGACGCGTTATCCTGCCTATAAGATGGATGGCACCTGAATGTATCTTACAAGGTGTGTATGTCTGACTAGGTGCCCCCTAAGATTGGATTAACTACAGTAGTAGCTTACAATTGAAATCTAAAACGAAACCACTTTCTGATTAAAAAGAAAAATTCAAAATATAAAACCTGGGCCATTTCCTACGAGTAGTCCAAGCGCTGTATACGTTACTTAAAACTAATAAATAAGGTGCGGACAAACGGTTTAGCGCAATGTTGCAGGCAATTTTGCTGAAGGAGGATCGTTTTCTACTTCAGCACGATTGCGTGCAACAAATTACGTCATGTGTCATGGCTCGCAACATCGATTGCATAAAGCTCGTCACACACCGTGTGCGTAACTATTTTGATTTCTGATGCATGCGTGTGTTATGGTTGTCTGATAGGAATAGTTTTACATGTAGATAGCAAACAGTTATTACCGTTACTGGGTACTCGATCGATCAATGTCTAGACGGAAAAATAATAATGGTTGCATTCATACATCATTACTGCTGCTGTACATGGCTGACCCTGTATTTTAACGGCTCTAATCATTACATACCCACAGGTAAATTCACATCAGAAAGTGATGTTTGGGCATTTGCTGTGACCTTGTGGGAGATCCTGACACTGGCAGCCAAATATCCTTACGATGAACTCACTGATGAACAAGTGATTGAGAATATCCAAAGAATGTTCTTCCGTCCCAATGATCCCAACCTAGTTTACTTGGAAAGGCCGTCTGTCTGTCCAAGTGATGTCTATGACATGATGAAGTCGTGCTGGCAAAAGGACCCCAACAAAAGACCCGTCTTCAAAGCTCTTCACGATTTCTTAAAGAAAAGAGTGAGATTAAGTGAAATGGCAATATAAAAAGCTTCCATTTTTTTTGTTTGTTTTGTTTTGCTTATGCGCATCTGTAGTGATTTTTATAAACCCGTGAAACAGATAACATTAGTGTGTTATAATGAACTAACAACAAAAGAACACAATGGAATTAGAGTGTACTAATTTTTATTAGGCTGATGTGTATTTTACGGGCTTTTGAAAACCACTCTGTAGTTTTACAATACATATATATTTAGGTAATGAAAAACATATTTTTTTAATAAATTAAGATCAAGAAACATGTTTTTTAGAAAGCAAGGCATTGCCGTGTATCTGTTAATGATTCATTATTTCATTTTTTACGATTATTTTTACATAACGTTTTATTTTTTTACTCGCATATCGTTAGAAAATACATAACATTTTTACGTGCATATCGTTCAAATAGATGTTTTTGTTAATTTCCAAAAACAGCGTTATAAAACCATTAGTATATAGGTACTGCAAAAGCTAAGTGCGATTTATGAGGAAAGACTTAACCGAGACAAAAAGCCATTGTGGGCTTGATTTTGAGCGTAAGGGATATTTTGAGGGCCATGAAAAGAGGAGGGACACAAGAATTATTAAAACGTTCGCGGCAAATCCGCCAGCACTACACCCCTCCCCTTCCCCCTCCCCCAATGAAAAAACATTTCTTCCCAAACAAATCTAATCTCCGCAACAAAAGTGCAATGGCAGAGAAATGAACCCTGCACAATATTTTAGTACAGGATATTACAATAGCGTTTAAAAAGCTGCAACTGCTTTACATCCAGAAATAAGATTAATCCTAGCTTTGGAATTATTTAATCTACACGTTCTTAGTTTAAAGTGATCGTTATTTTTAAAACTAAATAGATACTGCTTGTTTTGTGTGTTGTTTACTAAGCTTAATTAAAATTTTATGATATTAATATGCAAATCATTTCAGCACAGAAGAAATTACGCGGAGAAAAACATGCAGACAACGTTTAGGAAAAATTCATAGTATCGTTGTGACCTTTCGCTGATTGTATTCAAATGACCCATAATGCAGTTCGTGCTATGATCTTTTTTTAAATAGCTGTTTTTCATTAGAGTTTTTTGTTGTCCGCTAGACAAAGGTTTCTAATTACTAAATAGTTCAAAATAATGCTAATTAAACAATAGAAAACAATGGAATTTGCATGAAATTGTGCTATTTAGTATTACTAAAGTTTCACGGTTATATTGTTTGCACTCTATCTGGTTAATACCATTATCGTTAAAGTGTGACCCGCAAGGTTTGATTTCTTGTTTGCCGACTAGCTTTTTAACGTCCGTTAATCAAAAAACTGCATTAAAAAACACAATACTTGAGGGAGATTTTGGATTACATTAAAGATTTTAGAGGATTAGATAACTGAAATATTTATTTTAGTCTGAAAATTCCTCAATACTTTTTTTACTTTTTCTACTTCCGTTTTTTGATTGACGGCCGTTGAAATGCTAGTCGGCGAACGAGACATCAAATTGTTTGAGTCAGCAAAGGCAGTAGTAATGTAAATGTATATATTAAAAAATGATCGATGTGACCATTTTTTAGAGGTGCTGTATCATGTAAAGTTATTTTGATCGAATAGTCATGTTGCAAATAAACGTTAATTTCTTTAAATGCAAATATTGTGTGGGTAATACTTCAATTTCCAGATCTCTGTTGCTCAGGATAGCCTCGATTTTGTGTAGAAAGTTCATGTGTTCCAATGAAGTATGTGCATGCTTGCAATGTCAAAGTGTTCGTATTGACGAAGTTGTAAATTCTTGACTGTTGGTAATATAGCTGGGTGATCAGAACTAAAAGATAAATTGCTTGATTAATTTTCACAGCTCTTCATTATTCTATGGACCCAGGTGTTGGTAACTTTGGAATGACGGACCGCGGATCAAAGTGTTCGTATTGTTGAAGTTGTAAATTCTTTACTTACTGTTGGTAATATAGCTGGGTGATCAGAACTAAAAGATAAATTGCTTGATTAATTTTCACAGCTCTTCATTTTTCTATGAACCCAGGTGTTGGTAACTGTGGAATGACGGACCGCGGATCAACCAACGAAAAAAACAACAATGCACCTATATGCAAAAAGACATTTATATTCCTTTAATATGATTGTTTATACAAAGAGGCAATATTCTCTATATTACGTCACTAGCATCTATATGGGTTAGAACCAGAGGAGGATGCAGGATTATCCCATCATGCATTGCGAGTGAAATACAACTTCATTTAAACAGCTGAAATAGATGTTTTCAAAAATTAAAAACAGAATCAATTGTAATTAAGTAGAGTACACATCACCTTTTAGTTATATCTATTTTCTAAATTCTTTGAAAAGTTTAGAGAACTCGTCAAAATACTGGAGTACTTTGGAGTACTTTCAGGTTCAGTAAATATCCTACAACTGACTTTTATTTGCAAAATTAGACTGAACCTGTTTTCATCAAATGCTAAAGCAACGTTCATACGAACCCCCCTCCCCACCACTTCCCCCTTTGCTTGAGTCCGAATACCTGTGTCAAACATAGTGTTGTCGGGTTTTTAATACATGATGAATCTATGTTTTTAAATTTGTGTCTTAACCCATGATGATAAATACGACTATCCCAGAGCTTTCATAATTTTACATTTTATTCCCTACCACACCACCGCGACGCATGAGCTCATGTTTCGTAACGTTGCCTTCACTCGAAACACTTTTATCCTTAACTCAATATACATTGTACGATGTACTTTATCGTTTACTGAACCATTGCTACCTATCTACGATACATTCCATAATACTCTCATACTGTTACGCTCAACTGTTCCAATCACCCACTGCCTTAATATTTATTTACTTATCTTATGCTATTTATTTATCTTTTCTTTTTCATCATTTATTTTTCTTTTCTTTTTCATCATTTTTCTTCAATCATTTTTCACATACGTATCCCCCCTCCCCACCACCTCCCCCTTTGCTTGAGTCCGAATAACTGTGTCAAACATAGTGTAGTCGGGTTTTTAATACCCGATGAATCTATGTTTTTGAACTCAAACTGTTTAATGTTACTTTCCGTCTTTCAAAATAGATGCTTTATTAAATTACTGTCCGCTACCCTGTTTTATAGTATAGAGTATATGAGTATATAAACTTAAAAAACACAAAAATTCATTTTTTATTGCATAAGAAAAGAAATGTTGCAGTTTAAAATATCAATAGCAGGCGGAGTTACACTCTGTTGCCTTCAAGCAATTGTTTCAAGTGGAGGCATTTGGGTCAATACAATAAAATGTATAGAAACTGACCCAGCTGTAACAATTGTTTGAAGGCAATAAAGTGTAATTCCGATATCTGCTATTGATGTAAAACTTGAATAAACTTACAACCGCGATATACTGGGCACTAGTCTCAGTAATTCGAACGCGCGGTCAGGATGATGTCATAATGGACTAATGAAGACCGAACGACTCATTAGTGATTTAGCTGTCAAAGAGACAAGATTTCCTTTCTGAGCGTTGTCATTCACGTATGTTTTATTTTCTTCCCTGGCTTCACTCTTTACCAAGTCCAGCAGTACGAGATTATAACAAGCCTGAGGTTTATTGCACAGCAAACTCCAGGTGAGTTTTAGTTTTTTGCTTTGTTATCTGTGTATTAGGAGCGCCGTAGATATCTCTCTTTCAAAACAGCACCTTGAAGAAATGAGAAACGTAAAGTATTTATTCTTGAAATGATAGATTCGAAATCAATAAAAAAAACAATTAAGCAACCAACAATGTGGTACATTACTTTTGGTAGCTAACTCTGCATGTTAAGATTTTTTTTTTTTCAAATGAGCACTTTTCTTTTAAAAAAAACGTTACTTTCAAGTTTCGCACGCGCATCCACCATGCCAATCTACGTAACTTATTTTATTGTTACGTGGATTCGAATGCAATTTTAAAATGTCAATGAAAAACACACTTTTCATGAAGTAATAAACTTACATACAAAATAATATATTTTTGTAGGTGGCAATTCAATTGAGACGAAAACCTTTGGGATTCCTGTTGATCGAGGTATTTTCCAATGTGTGAAGCATGGTGGGAAACTGAGTATGCTGTGGCTCACTGTTTTTTATGAAAGTAATAGATAAACAAGTAAAGTGGATGGAACTTCTCCTGATTTTCTTGGTTTTTTTTTGTTTTTTTTGTTTTTGTTTTTTCTTCTACTGTACTCAGATTCCCATAATACTGTGTGAACGTCAATATACATCGTCTATTCAATTAAGTATTGAAAACGTAATAAAATCATTATGTTTTTCAGAGAATCATTTATTTAATCTGAAAGTCTTTGAGCTTCCTGTGTATCAAGGTATTTGATTATTTCACACATGTGAATACGTGAATTATTTTAATAGACTATCTGAAAAGCGTCAGCACACGAGACAATGTTGCTTGCACTGGACCTTACCGTGTGTTCACCCACCCTGCGATGTTCAGAAGAAAAGTACAAACACGTTGTAGATATGGACACACGGTGTGCATTCATTGCATGCAACGTTACATCGTGTGTTCAACCACCCTGAGATGTTGAAGAAAGTAGAAACACGTTGTAGAGATGGACACACGTTGCGCACTTCATTGCATGCAACGTTACATCGTGTGTTCACACATCCTTCGGTGTTAAAGAAACTACAAACACGTTGTAGAGAAGGAAACAAGGTGTGCACCATTGCATGCAACGTTACATCGTGTGTTTACACACCGGCCCTGCGAAATTGAAGGAAGTAGAAACAAGCTGTACGTTGCAGAGATAGACAATCTGTATGCTTTTCTTGGCAAACAATGACAGAATGTACGACTTTTATGTGTAATTTGCGTTGTAATTGTCCGTTGAGCTAAGGCTCTGGACTGTGCATCAGACGATCTTTTAACGAGTTCAAAGTTCTATTCAACGAGAATCCCACTTATGAAAGATATGGGACCATGGCTATCTAAATTGGGCTCCCTGTGGATAGGGCGCATCATGCAGATACCTGGTTAGTTGGTCAATACTCTATAGATTCTTTCTCTCCTACTTTTACAGCAAACCGCAGTCATGGCTTTTTGTCAGCACAAATTATCATAATTGAACCCAGTCTTCACTCAGAAGATAAAGTCTTCCCTGTACAAAAGTTTCATGTTGAAGAAGAATGGCAAACATATTGGTCTCTGACAGGTAAAAACAATAAGAAGTTGAAGTACAGGTTATATTTAACCCAACTGCATGTGACCTTCTAGCCCTGATCCATACTTATGTCAGCTTACAATACTGAAGAAATAGAAAACGTGTGCGGGTGCTGTGTGCTCTCATAAAGCACGCRCTCCCAACCAATCAAAATGCGAGATTCATAACAGTAATTTTATAAAACTGTATATTCAACAGAATCGATTCCAGCAGCAACAGAGGACAAACCATCACAAACTACAGCATTGTCAGTAGTTGTCAAACCAACCAACACTCAACATGTAATCCTTGCCTTGTTTGTTTTGTCGGTGCTTGCTGCTGTATGCATAGTCGTGAGGATAAGGTAAGTAAACATTGTAGATCTCCTGCTAAATTTATAGGTAAATAATGAAAAGAAAGGAAATTAAAAAGAAATTAGAAGGAAGGAAGAATGAATGAATGAATAGACAGCGGCAGACGTTTCCCTGCGTCTAGTTTCAGTTTACCTCTTGCGAACCTTCTCACCAAACACAAGTATTCTCTTATCTTTCTACAATTTGTAAATGTTTTCGATTTTTGTTCACTAATACTGAAGTGGTACAATTGACTTACTTTACGCGTTCGCCATAGATTAAACCTTGAAAAGCATATGTTTCCCATCTATCTATCAACAATACAATAGTGATTATTTATAATCTATTGGCCGGGAGGGGCCGCAGCTACATTTCTTGTGGCGCCACCAATACCTCTATATATAAGAGAGTATTAAACAACTTATGTTGCTACGTTCTATTCAATGAGTATTTAGTTAAGAGCTACTTTGTTAAAAGATGTGTTGGTTGCCGAAACAGAGTAAATGCGTGCCACGCTAAGCCTGAATTCCCCTGAACGTCCATAAAATAATCCTGTCATTTCTCGCATGACAAAAACCGCAAAGCAAGGACGCAGGCCACCCACTAACACTCGATTACTATGTGTTTGACGTCGTTTGTCAAGTGAGTTTGAACTACCTTAATAAGCCTTTTCATAGTTTAAGAACCGATTCCACTGCGCATGCGATTTTATCCCGAATTTCTCACCTTCTTTTGTTTAATTAAGAACAATAGAAGGTTTAGACAAAAGAAGGTAGAAATTCGGGATAAAATCGCATGCGCAGTGGAATCGATTCTTAAACTGTGAAAAGGCTTATAGCCCTTATCGTAGATGAGCACGCCACCCCAACAAACCAGCGGTATCGTGAAGAAAGTAGCATCAAAACGAGACTATCGGGTCGAGGAAATTTACTACAAATCTTCGAGAGATCACTACATTTTGATAGATATCTTTGATACACAAAGTATTTTGTAGTCTTTCTAACTATGGTCAAACACTATATATCTTTTGGATGTATGAATAGTAGTTTGAAGGCAGAAAGCAAGGAATTATCGTGGCTTTGCTACCATTGATAATTATAAGTAATATCATGGCAATGAGGGATATTAGTGATTAAATGTCCCCGAAGTCGAGGGAGGTTTAGTGGAAGGCCCGAGGCCGTAGGCCGAGGGACTTTTACTAAACCTCCCGAGGCAGAGGGGACATTTAATCACTAATATCCCGAAATTGCCATGGTATTAGTTTGTAATACCATGATTTCCGAGGAAATTAAAGAAAACAAATCGTCACAAAACTTAGTGAACTTGAATACTAATAAGTCGCTATCAAACTGTCTAATCCATCTGTCTGATTTATCGTCTCAAGGAAGATATAAAACGTTGTACCTCATGTATTTGTTTTATCCGTGTAAACATTGGCAAAATATTTGGCAAATTGGTAGCATACTAAGGCCTACTTAATTCTGGCCTACTGAATCAAAATTCATTGTTTAAAGAACTTTGACTGAATGATTACTCTTGGAAGCACAAGTAAGAGAGTGTTTGGTTAGCAAAATGCTAATTAAAACTTAAAATGTTTTCTTAAAACTACTTCAATGACATAATAATTTGTTTAAGAACTCTCATTGGAATGTCTTTTTGTCAACACAGAAAACAYATAAATYAAGGAATAAATTTTTBCTTTACTACAACTTRACCAGAATGGCGGAAGGTCGTTTTAGCTTTTTAAAAGACGCTGAAGTCGAGAGTGTTAGAGAAACTACAGTTCCAGAGAACACTAAAAGGCACACTGCATGGAGTACTAATGTATACAAACAATAGGCTCAAGCAAGAGACAATGAATTTAAGGACTTTGAGGTGGAAGAAACCGGAGCGACAGCAATTAATTTGGGTGGCATTAATATGCAAGGAGCGAATTTAACCAATTTTAGCATAAACATTAATATTAACAAGTAACGTTCAATTGGAAAAATTAAACATTTATTATTACAATCAGTTCTAAATAAGACGTGTGAAAAATCAATAAAGTGGTTGAATAAACGTTAACTTCTTGCTCTTTGTTTCAAAATGGCTTTGCGCATGCGTGAAGGCTACCCTTGCACCGAGAAAATTAACATTTGTGTAAAACATTAGATTGTAACAAGTTCGTAATTTTAGTCCATTATAACGCATGCGCAAAGTTTGTCCTAGCGTGTAGAATCCGACTCTAAGAACCAATTTCTTTATCCCACATTGAATAAAGCCTGTGGCAGGGTGGTATACATCCTCTTTAAAAATGCATCAGATTTCGAACCGGGTCATTTTAGACTCGGTGTCCCGATGATTACGTTACATGAGGGACAACCTCTCATGAATAACATGAGGGATATTTAGTTTCTAAATATCCCTCATTCATATGGATGAGGGACGTTTAGTTTCTAAATTTCCGGATTTCCTTCATGTCATTCATGAGGGAGGGATGTTAGTGATTAAACGTCCCTCCAAACACAATGGATCCCTAATGATCATGGTATTACTATAAAAAACGTATGGCTCATCAGTCAAAATACGTAGAGAGAACTAAGTTACCAAAAGTCTTACATTTATAGTTGGCATTTCGAACATGAATGCTTTATTAAGCCACTGGGGTGACAGATAATTGATTTGAAGCCGAGATCTTTGCAGTCCAATATATTTTTTATACTGTCCACACTATGCGAGGAGGCTCTCAGTAAAACACTGCATACGAGGGCTCTTATAGTCTATTCGTACGGCAGTCAATTCCGTTCTGTAGTTCTCAAGTATGTTAAAAAGAGTTGTTCGAATCTTAACTATCCTATCTTCATTCAGAAATAGAAAGCGAATAGCTTTCATACACTTATAAACTTACGGCTATGAAATAAGCGCCGAATAACTCGATGATCACGATGGACTAGCAAACTTCAGTCTTTTGACTAAACGTTGTCGTTGATCGGATCATCCCTACGCGCCTAGACAGAAAAGGATAACGGGTAAATTACCCAGAACTTGCGTCATCCAAACTTCTCGCTAGTTTAAATCTTCGCCGTATGCTCGAGTCATGGTTTTAGCAAATTAAATGGGATCGAAAAAAGCGGGCTCAAGACGTGTTAGATAACATATGCGGCAGCTAGTAACTGTGAATTAATTATCCCCATGATCCTGTTCGGTCTAGGCACGTAGGAATGAAGCCGATCAAACGACACGTTTAGTCAAAGGACTGTATACTAACACACGGCTTCAAAACAAGAATTTCGTGACCAGCATAAAAGAATATAAACATTAGCCAAACTTTCATGGAATATGACTTAGTAAAGCTCTTCTGTATCACTTATTGTTTCTTAACAAACATAGGATTCAAGTTTTTTAAATTACCAAAAGTCGACTGCCGTAATCAAAGGATTACAATATGTTTACGTTTATTATGCCGTACGAACGGTCACTCCGTTTCTATCTCAGTGGCTTTTTTAAGGTAAAAGCGAACTTCTGGCATAGATACTGGCTTCAAACAAATCCCCCTATCCTCCATGTGGCTTAAAAAAGCATTTAGCTTTGAAATTATTGCTACAAATGTACGAAATTGTGTTACTTGGAGTGTTCTTTCTCAGTGGCTTTTCTGCGGCAAATTATCCGAAGCTCGACCCGATAGTCTCGTTTTGATGCTATGGTCATCACAATACCGCTGGTTTGTTGTGGTGGCGTGCTCATCTACGATAAGGGCTATATCATGTAATCTTTGTTTCAGATGTGCACGTATAAGTTCTAGTGGTGATCCATGTAGTCCCCAGGTAATAGATGACATGTTTTATTAGCTGCCTTTGCCGTATAGAGGCTTTGCACCATCAAATTATGGCAGCGATGAAAGGAGGCACAACAATAGTCTTCTTTCCTTGGGAAACTGAATTCTTTCTCATGTAAATCAGATTAGACCAGTTTCAATTGTACCTAGTGCGTCCTGTCATGGCTGCCATCACGTGATGGTGCAAAGCCTTTGTTAAGAAAATTCTCAACCACTACTATATTGCTTACTATCAATCACGTGACTTTTTGGAGTTGACTAGGGGGCAAACAAGCGGTTGACTGGGGGGGCAACTAGCGGATGCTAACTCAAAACATATCAAAATAAGTTCTCAAACTATTGTATTTGACTATTTTCACGACATCAAACCAGAAAACAAGAGATCAAAACAACCTCCAGGATTCTACGAGCCATCAAAAAAGAGGTATTACCGGAAGTGACGTCTATTGATAGCAACCTATAGCTACCGCTGTGCACAAGAAAATAACAACCACTTTTAGTTTTCTCCTCTTAATTTCATTATTCCTTATTGTAGGAGGTGTACGACGTAAGCCTTTTTCAGCGCTCAACTGTTGATGAGAAGCTCATACGAAAAAAGATCATACGAACCTATCAAATGTTATTTTGATTTATCGAAGACATTTCCTAAACCACGCAGATCGATATCCATCAAGAGCACCAGTAAATTGAGTGAATCTGTTGAAACGTCTTGTAAGTATCAGTACGATTACCTTAGAAAAATGGTGGGAAAGGGGAGTAAGGGGACAGGCTCAGGTCTGGCTTATATAAGAGAAACCTATATAATAAATCACTTGAAGATCATATTCTCCCCCAATTTAAAATATTGTTTTAGATAATTTTTTCTTTCGCCAATTGTTCATGGTTTCTGAGCATCCCTTAGATGAAGTAAGAAACTTTATAACGACTGGCTGATTAAGAAGATATTTTCTCCAACGCTGCATGCCTGGTAGCCCATATTTATCATGACCTCTACTTTACTGACTTCATCAGAACTGAAGAATAAATTGAAATAAATCAGCCATTATAAGACACACTGTGTTTCCCCCTCATTAGGTATGGAGCTACAAATGGATGCCTCTACTGTCAATCTCTATCGAGTCATTTCTCGTTATTACAAAGTTACATCGAAACTGGGAGAAGGAACTTTTGGAGCGGTCTACCGCGCCGTTGACTTACAAACGTCTAAAGAAGTAGCTGTGAAGTTCCCGACCTGTCCATCATATGCCCAAGATGTCTGGGATGAAGCTTGCATAATGAAAGAATTGAATCACAAGAATGTACTTGAAGCAGTGAATTCTTTTTACAACAACACAAGTGCTGCATTAGTGACTGAACTCATGGATGGAACTCTGTCTCAACTGAATGGAAATAAGAAATTGAGGGCGGGTCACTTGGCGGCTATTTTTAGACAGTTGCTTGAAGGAATAAGTTTCTTGCACCATCAGAAACTCATTCACAGAGACATTGAATCATGTAATATTCTGGTGAGGAGAAATGGAGAAATCAAAATAGCTGATTTTGGAACCGCCATTTACACGAAAGATGTCGCACATGAATTCGGATATCAAGTGGGAACGGTAAACTGGATGGCACCGGAAATAATAAAAGGACGACGATACAGTGAAAAGGTAAGTGCGATGTGTCAATGATATGTGTCAATCAAATCCACTATTCTAGATCTCGCTTCGTTAACCATGGACATTGTCTGCTGATTGTCTGTAGGTTGATATCTGGAGCCTTGGTGTGGTATTGATCGAGCTCATTGATGGAATGCCATGTTATGGAAGGCTGACAAAAGAGGAAATAATCTTCAAGTACATATTAAAATACGGTGCAGTGTCCAAGAAAATCTATCGATTTAATAGCCTTTTATTATGTGACTTCATGTCAGAGATGTTAGCCCGCAATCCACGTCAGCGGCCGAGTGCCAAAGATCTTTTGAATCACCCGTTCATCCAACTGGTTGAGCCGGCCCCTGGGTTAGAATCCCTGGCATCACTAATGGAGATCTTAATTTAAGATTTTAAAGTTGACACGATGATACAAAGGGAGACTCGCAACCAAGATCAGCCGGTAATGCAAATCACCTTTCCATCCGACCTATTGGCTCGTCAAGAAAAGGTAATGTGCTTTCTTTGGTTCAGGGGCGGCGGAAGCGGGGGGGCCGGGGGGGCACTGGCCCCCCACTAGATTTTTGGGGGGGCCTGGCCCCCCCAGAATATAATGCCTCACACACAAAAAAAACGCATGAGATTTGGTTATGATTACCATTATTTATTATTTTGATATTACATAATTTTCTGTATCTAAAAAATATACGATATATCTAGCGACGACTTGCATCATTTATGTGTCTCTCAGCACAATTGCAAGTGGTTTAATGCGCGCAAAATGTTACTGATTGAAATATCACACATACACGTTTGTAATCAAGCTAAACAGGGGGGGGGGGGGTCATTTCAAGGTACCGTGAAATATTGGAGTGCCCCCCCAAAATTTTTCAGCTTCCGCCGCCCCTGTGGTTTTAGGATAGCTTAGATGCCGACTCTTTCTCTCTCATCTGCAATGACCACGAAGCACGTGAATATGATTTCCAGTTGATAGTAGTGTTGATTTTTGTTTCTTCTTTATCTTGTAGGCTTCTTTGTTGTTCCAAACACAGAACTAAGATCATGTAAATCAACTCAACTCAAATGAGTCAGTCGAGGATGACTGACAAGTACTTACGATGTCTGCTACAAAATACGAATAAGCGAGCTGGAATGCATTTATTCAGAACTATAATACTCAAGGGAATATACAACGTGGTAGAGCAAATAATCAAAAAAAGTAAAGTAAACAAAACATATAAATAATTCAAGAAATGAATAAGGAATGATAAATAAACGAACTTTTAAAATTTTTGCATTTTAGTAGTCACGTTACTACCCGATGGTTGCGTTCCTGAAACCGTTACATTGTACAACTCATGCAAAACAGTTGCGCAAGAAAGGCACCAGGACGTGATGGCAGCCATGACTGGGTCTAATCTGGTTTACATTTTAAACAATCTATTGTAGTCCTTTCTGTAAACATGGCTGCCATCACGTCATGGTGGAAAACCATTTGTCGGCCATTTTCTTTTCCGATGGACCACCTGATCAGATTTCATCCTGCGCGATGATTGGCTGGTTTTCGATGGGCTGTCAAAACAATATCACCTGGAAAGTACTAATGTTCATTTTGGAATAATTTCACTTTTGTTTTGAAAAAAAAAAAAAAAGAAAATACCTGAACTCAGCGTAAATCGAAGGTGAAAATGGTTGTTCTGGAAAAGGTGGTCGAGTGAAAAACGCCCAAGCAAACTAGAGAAGAGCTACTTTATGGATAGAGTAAAGAAAATATTTTTATTCCAGATAAAGAAAATGTCCCCCATAATGAAGTCCAGTAAAAATCTAATCAAATCACACTACATCCTTTTATTCGCGAGTCTTTGTCTAGAAATGTTGACAAGTGTACACAACCCACCATTGACCAACCACGTTGAACTCCATTCCAAATCTTATGTAGAATGTGTGTCGGCAAGCACGTTCTCCAAAAGAGATCCAATTACGTTCTGCATAGTTCAGCTAGAAAAGTCGCTAAATCTTAAAGCTTCATTTAAACGGCAAGACGTGCTAATGTGTGCTCAGGATTTCTCTTAGAATTGCTTGACTCTTCATAGTTTCCTTGGTTGATCTTTGTTCTGAAATTAATGTAAAATAATTGGGATAGTACTTGCGCTACGATTGGTCGAAAATCATACTTGATGAGGGTATCAAAACAAGCTCGAGTCATCCTTTACATCAAAATATTACGACATTTTTTTYCGTTTTTTGGCGTGTTTGTTATTTTATGAGACAGATCAAAAAAAGTTTTCCGTGTTTGATACTCTGATCAAAACACTTGGGATGTTGTGAGAACACTCGAGAACTGGAAACCATCCGCTACGCGTCGTGGTTCCCTACGCTCCTCTTGTGTTCTCCCAACATCCCGCGTGTTTTGATCAGAGTATCAAACACGGAAAACTGTTTTTGATATGTTAGGGACATCTTTTTTAWAAAAGAAAACTTTCACAGTGAATACGAGATCGATCTCAAGCGATGATCAAAACGCATGCGTTTTAGAAATTTATATTCATCATTTTATTACTCTTAATAACAAAACTAAAATTCAAACAAACTCACATGTACTTGCTATTTATTCGTAGTAGCTTTCAGATCCAAAATATCTTTACAATATAGCATCAAGTGATCAGAATCGGGTCAGCTAATAATTCAAAAGTCGAAGCCATTTCCCTTAGATGCAATATTCCAATTACGAGTTGCTGTATTCTATTGGGGTTTCAAAATCGGAGTGGAATTTTAAATGCCGAGGCGTATGCCGAAGTGTATGCCGAGGTGTAGCCGAGGCATTTTAAATTCCACGAGGATTTCGAAACCCCAATAGAATACAG